TTGTGTGTGTGTGTGAGAGAGAGGGGGGGGGAGAAATAATCTTCCTTTCAATGCTGTCCAAATTCTAGATTTTGCAGATTATCTGCGCAGGCTGGAGAGATTTTTAAAACAAAGGGAGAGTGCTAAAAAGTCAGCGCTGGCTCCTCTTAGGAAGTAAAAATATTGTGGGGGGGGGGGAACTGAAGATTTCAGCAGGAATTGTGGACAGAAGCCCTTTGGGATCAGATTCCAGGTTAGCAGGTGACCTTGGCGATAAGGTGTTTCCTTCTGGGACGTAACTTCAAGGCGTGGAAAGGAGACCACAAGGAGATCGCGCAGCCAGCGGTGGAACTACGCTGGGAAGCTGAAAACACGTCCCTGGCACGGCTAGTTGCTTCCATGTTGCAAGTAGTCCTCAACGCACGACCACACTGAGTCCAAAATTTCTGTTGCTAAGTGAGTTTTGTGCCTGTTTTACGACCTTTCTCACCTTAGTTGCTAAAAGGGAATCGCTGCAGTTGTGGTTAGTGACATGGTCGTTAAGCGAATTTGGCTTCCCCCCTCGACTTTTTAAGGAGAGACTGGACAGCCGTTTGTCTGAAATGGTCTAGGGTTTCCTGCGTGAGCAGGGGGTTGGACTAGATGACCTCCAAGGTCCTTTCCAACTTTATTATTTTTATTACTATTATTATTATTATGTCAGGAAGTCGCAAAAGGGGATCACGTGACCCCGGGACACTGCAACCGTCACATTTATAAGTCAGTTGCCAAGTGTCGGAATTTTGATCACGTGAACCCAGGACATCGCCGCCATCATAAATACATGCCAAGCGTCGGAATTTTGATCACGTGAACCCAGGACATCGCCGCCGTCATAAATACACACCAAGCGTCGGAATTTTGATCACGTGAACCCAGGACATCGCCGCCATCCTAAATACACGCCAAGCGTCGGAATTTTGATCACGTGAACCCAGGACATCGCCGCCGTCATAAATACACACCAAGCGTCGGAATTTTGATCACGTGAACCCAGGACATCGCCGCCATCCTAAATACACGCCAAGCGTCGGAATTTTGATCACGTGAACCCAGGATATCGCCGCCATCATAAATACATGCCAAGCGTCGGAATTTTGATCACGTGACCAAAGTCTGAAAAACGGCCAGGTCATTTTTTTCAGTGGTGTTGCAACTTCGGTCAGTAACCGAATCCCTGTAAGTCGAGAACTATTTTTTTTAAACTTCTGTACACACTACTGCACACACGCAGAGCCTTCAAGCAAGAATATATTTCCTGCGCTGGCGATCTTTCTGTAGAAATGCCATTTAACAGGAAAACCTTGGCAAGGAAAAGCTGATTTTTGATTTCCTCTACGGCCAGGATGCATCTCGGGTGGGTTGAGCTGGGCTGGGCTTTTTTTTTGGGGGGGGGGGGAAGAAATATTCAGGCTGGGCTGACCTTCGCCCTGCAGATTAGGGCTGGCTGACTTCTGACGTGTGTCTCTCCTCTCCGATATGACTTCAAGATTTTGGCATTTGCAAGTAGAAAAAACAGCCCTTCTGGTGGAGGGGGGGCGGGGGCGGAGAAAAAGCCTCTGCCAAGGGTCCCTGCGTCACTGGAGGAAAGAGCGATGGGATCACTGGAAGGGAAAAATAAATAAATAAACCCAGAAATCTTGCAAATTAGTTCAGGAGAAACAAAGGAAATGAATGTTTTTCCCCCCAGTTCATCTCGTTTTCCTGGGTATTATCACGGGGAAAAAACCCCTTCACACCCAGATTTGGTCCTGGAAATTCCATTTTCTAGATGCACGGAGGGGTCAGTTAACCAGAAAAACATAGGATAGGGCTGGAAGGGACCTTGGAGGTCTCCTAGCCCAACCCCTTGCTCGAGAGCAGAAGATGAGACCGGGGGTCTCCAAGCCTGGCTTGGCAATTGAGATTCGACTCTTCAGTTGTGCTCATACCTTGAGGACTAGCGGCACAGAAAGTCAAGGCCAGCCAGCAACTGGTTGTTTTTTTTTGTCCTGGATTTCTCCTAGGTTGGGCCCAACCTTCTAAATACTGCTAGTCCTCGGCTTACGACCGCAACTCAGCCCAAAATTTACGTTGCTAAGTGAGACGTTCGTTAAGTGAGCTCTGCCCCATTTTACGACTTTCCTTAGCCACATTTGTTAAGTGGGATCACTGCAGTTGTTCAGTTAGCAACATGGTTGTTAAGTGGATCCGGCTTCCCCATTGACTTGGCTTGTCAGAAAGTCGCAAAAAGGGGACGCTGCAACGGTCACAAATATGAATCAACGGCCAAGCGTCTGAATTTTGCTCGCGTGGCCGTGGGGAGCCTGCCCCAGTCGTAAGTGTGAAAAATGGTCAAAAGTTGCTTTTTTCAGTGCCGTTGTAACTTTGACCGGTCACTAAATGAACCGTTGTAAGTTGAGGACTGTCTAGGTGGGCCGTTTGCACAAAAGGGAGAGAATCCGAATCTATCTGAGCCACGTTAGAGCTGGAGGCCGGGCGAGAATGCAGCTGTTTTGCCAGAGGTTGGCTGCTCTCCTGCCTCCTGGGGTGCTCCAAGTGGCGTTTGGCAATCGTAAATCAATTCACATAAATCCTTCTTGGGCTTGAGAAGGAAGGATGACTCCGGCCAAAAGGAATTTGAGGAAGGGAGAGAAAGGAGAGAGAGAGAGAGAGAAAGAAAAAGAGAGAAGAGAAAGAGAGAGAGAAGAGAGAAAGAAAAAGAGAGAGAAGTGAGAGAGAGAGGAGAGGAAAGAAGAGAGAGAGAAGAGAGAAAGAAAAAGAGAGAGGAGAGGAAAGAAGAGAGAGAGAAGAGAGAAAGAAAAAGAGAGAGGAGAGGAGAAAGAGAGGAGAGAGAAGAGAGAAAGAAAAAGAGAGGAGAGGAGAAAGAGAGAGAGAAGAGAGAAGGAAAGAGGAGAAAGGAGAGAAGAGAGAGAAAGAAAAAGAGAAGAGAGAGAGAGAAGGACACAGAGAGACAGGGAGAGAGAAGAGAGGAGAGAGGAGAGAGAAGGAAAAAGAGAAGAGAGGAGAGCGAGAAAGAAAAAGAGAGAGGACACAGAGAGAGGGAGAGAGAGAGGAGAGAAAGAGAGAAAGGAAAAAGAGAGAAGGAAAAAAAGAGGAGAAAGAAAAAGAGAGGAGAGGACAGAGAGAGGGAGGGGGGAAAGCTCCTCCAGGCGAGGCAGCGGCCAGGGAAGGCAACTGCTCTGCACAGATGTTGGGAGGACGCGGCTTTCGCACGCGTGCCCCGAAGCAAATGAGGCCTTTGCTTGGAAGTGTCTGAAACGGGCACAGAACCGGGTTCCTGTTCCAACACTTCCTTTCTTCTCTTTTTGTCCTCTGCAGTCTTTCCTTCCTTTTGTCTTTCCCTTCTCTCCCTTTTCTTCTTTCCCTCTTCCTTCCCTCTTTTCCTTTCCTTTCTGTACCTTTTTCTTTCTTCTTTTCCCCTCCTGCTTTCCTTCCATTTTTTCTCTGCGTCTTTTCCTTCTCTCCTTTTTCCCTTCATTTTTCTTTCTCCGCATCTTTCCATTTTTCTTTTCTCTGCGTCTTTCCCTTCCTTCTCTTTTCCTTCCTTTTCTCTCGGCGTTTTTCTTCTCTTTTCCTTCCTTCCTTCCTTCTCCCTTGCTTCCATTCTCTTTTCCTCTCTCATTCCTTCCCTTTCATTTGCCTCTTTTCCTTTTCTTTCCCCTCTTCCTTGCTTCCCTTTCTTTTCCTTCCTTCCCACTCCCTTCCTTCCTTCTTTTGCTTAATGATCACATCGTTCACTTCACACGGAACAGCCGTGGTGGAAAAACGTCATAAAAGGGGGCACAAGTCACTCAACCATCTCTTGGCTTAGCAATGAAAAACCTGGACCCAGTTGTGGCTGTTAAGTCGAGAACTACCTGTAGCAAGGAGAGAAAAATTTCATTTTCTACCCCAGCCTAAAAAGATTCTTGGCCCAACCTTCGCTGCCACCTTGCCCACCGCCGCAAAATGCAACGCCAAGACTGGCACTCGCAGGTGCCAAAGGGAGCGAATTTAATTCACGACGGGAAGGAAATAAAATTAAGAGTTCTCACCAAGTTTCCAAACCCGCGTCTGACGCCAAACGCGCCTTTTTAATTGCTTCGGGTAAACTTTCATCGCGTGGACTCTTTCCTTGTCGAAAATAAAAACACTCCGTGAAGATCGGAGCACTCTGATAGGCTGAGCGCTAGATCCCTATTAAGATTACTGGGCCGTGCTCCAAAAAAATGAAAATATAAAACGTCAGAGGAGGAGCGAAAACCAGCAAAGTTAGGCCTGCAATGCACATTTTTATAAAAAGCCCCTGAATGGGGTTTCAACTCCCAGAATTCCCCAGCCAGCGTGGTTTAAAATGGGTGGACTTCAACTCCCAGAATTCCCTAGTCAGCGTCCTTTAAGGTGGGTGGACTTCAACTCCCAGAATTCCCTAGTTAGCATCCTTTACGATGGGTGGACTTCAACTCCCAGAATTCCCTAGTCAGCGTCCTTTACGATGGGTGGACTTCAACTCCCAGAATTCCCTAGTCGTCCTTTAAGATGGGTGGACTTCAACTCCCAGAATTCCCTAGTCAGCGTCCTTTACGATGGATGAACTTCGATTCCCAGAATTCCCCAGCCAGCACGCTTTAAGATGAGTGGACTTCAACTCCCAGAATTCTCTTTCCTTGGAGAACCAAAGCAATCCATCACACATCTGCTAAAAATTCATTTGTGGGGCAATCTGGATTTCATAGGGCTGGCTGAGAAACTGGACTTGAACCTAACCCAAATCAATAAATTCATAAATTTATATGTGTTGATAGGCCTGGATAATGCATCCAGAAGAACGATGGAGATATCATCCCGCTACAGATAACCAGAAAGCAAACATCAAGAAACTTAAGGAGATGCTGTCCAGATGTTTGGGTCGCCCAGACTTTGGGATCTGCACATTGCTGAAAAAACTAAAGTCTAAAAAGTCTCATCCTCTTGATGGCAAAAACGTCTTTTGCCCAGCTTCAGATGTTGGCGGAACCTGGTTAGATCTTAATCACTTGCGCAGCGATGCACGGGCCCTTCCGCTGGTTCCCGTGGACCTGTGGCTGCACCCACAGCTGCGCGTAGCTGCCCCCCACTTGTCCTTTCGTCAGCCGGCTGGGGTTAATGCAGACGCACCCCAAGATGTCCTAAACAAAAATATGAGAGGTTTAATAATAATAATAATAATAATAATAATAATAATAATAATAATAATAATAATAAAGTTGGAAGGGACCTTGGAGGTCATCGAGTCCAACCCCCTGCCCAGGCAGGAACCCTACACCATTTCAGACAAACAGCTGTCCAGTCTCTTCTTGAAAACTTCCAGTGTTGGAGCATTTTTTAAACCAAGATTGCTGGTAGGAATGTGGCTTGGATCAGATCATGCAGGTTTAGGCACCCAAACTCCATTTTAGCTGAACCTTGTTGTCCCGTTATTTGAGAACCTTTGACTTACGACCGTTTTTTTAGGGACCGTCCAAAGTTGCAACGGCACCGAAAAAAGTGAATTATGACCGGTTTTCACGCTGTTGTTGCAGCGTCCCTGTGATGAAAATTCAGATGCTCGGCCACTGACTCGTATTTACGACGGTCGCAGCGTCCCGGGGTGACGTGATCCCCTTTTTTGCGACCTTCTGACCAGCCAAATCAATGGGGAAGCCGGCTTCACTTAACAACCGGGTTGCTAACTTCACTTAACAACTTTGGCAAGAAAGGTTGTCAAACGGGAGCAAATCTCGCTTAACAACTGTCCCACTTAGCAACAGAAATTTGGTTGTACGTCGAGGACTACCTGCCGTTCATATTAATAGTAATTTTCATAGTAACTTTCCGGACACAGAAAATTCAACTGCACATTCATGAATGGGGTTTAAGTATCACCCTCTGTTTAATTTAACTGAAGTTTGCTGAATAGGTCATGGAGACAGTCCTCGAATTGTGACAATTAGGAATAGAATTTCTCCTGCTAACCAAGGCGGTTGTTAAACGAGTCACGCTGGGTTATAGTCTGCAGTCCAATGACACCTGAACTGCACTGAATCGCTCAACAACCCTGGAAAAAAAGAGTCATAAATTGGGTGCGACGCCGTGAACAATCACCTTACTACTTTGTTACGGAAATTCTGGTCCCAATTTTGTGGTCGTAGGTTCGAGGACTACAAGTAACCCCCTTCCCAAAACTGGCCAGCCCTTTGTTTTCTGAGATAGACAGCCTCTAAACCTGGAAGCTCAATGCCACAGCAGGGGCTTAAGAAATGCCTTCGTTTTCCACAGGGAAGGCTCAAACTCGGCCCGACACCTATTTTGCATGCGCAGAGTTCCAGATTTGACCCTGCGAGGAATGCTGGGAGATTTTTCTCTGCCCGGAGCCCGCTGTTCCTCCTTTCCCACCCCACGTACCACCACCTCCAGCATGGCATCAGACAAACCGTCGCCCTCGGGGGCTTGCTATCCCGAGTCCCTCCTTCGACAGAAATCATGAGGACTGGAATCTTGGGTTATTTTTAGGAGCGAGGAGGCCCAACGGCTTAGGTATCCATGCATGCAGGCCCCAAGGGTGGGGCTGCCTTCCTAATTCCCACCCCCCCACCCCCCCAGCTCAGCTCATAGCTGGTTTCTCCCCACCTTAATGAAGTATTTCAGTTCGGACGGGGTGATCAAGAGGTCCGGCGTGACGGGCAGAGAGGCGTGCGGGTAGAAACGCTCGTAATCCACACTCATGTCCTCGGGGGGCGGGTAGAGAGGATAGTAGCTGTTCAGAATTTAACGGGGGGAGGGGGGGAGAAGGAGAAGAGATCGAGTTACCCCAAAATGCTTTGCCCAACCTTTGGCTGGCATTCAAGGCCGCGCCCGGCAGCTGCTGCTTCTCCTCTACCCG